TCAGTTCAGCATTATGGTCGGGCCGGATCGCGCCATCCAGGGAGAAGTGGTGCTAGTATCCCCTTGCCCACAACGACCCGGACTGCAAAGGGCAATGGGCCCAAGATCCCGGAGTGCTTAGGATGTAGACGGGCCGGGACCTCTCTGCTGAGCCTAGGTAGGGCTGTGATGTGTTGATCTTCCGAGGCCGGGCATTGCCCCAGTAAAGTGTGTCCGGCCAGAGTAATCAAGCGCGTTGGGTAATGTGGTGCACCCCTTGCAGGGAAGTTATCTATTCGAATAGCCATGTCCACGGTAACGGACGTTCAGACTTGTAGCCTGATCCATTACAACTAGAAATGGATACTTGAGATATGTGCTAGATGTGTTGGCTCTGGGATTGCTTTCGCGCAAGGAGTCGAGGAAGAATCTCTGGGCGTTAATGCTACAACATGCTTGTTAAATATAAATTGCTATTCTTTACTCTTCTACATGATGCAAGATGCTTGGAGTTACTTGAAGATGCTAGTCTTTAATAGGCTAGGCTTTCCCCTCTCTTCTAGCTTTCTCCAGTTCAGTCCACAGATACAGCCCCATTTCCTTTGATACTGATGCATACTTAGTGTAGTTCTGATGTAAGTCTTGCGAGTACTTTTGATGAGTACTCAAGGTTGCTTTGCTACCTCTTTCCCCTATACCAGGTTGCTGCGATCAGGTGGTGGATCATAGGAGCCAGATGCTGTCACCATCGACGACCAGGAGTAGTTAGGAGGTCCCAGGCAGGAGGCCTTGCCTCGTCAATCGTGGTCCTTCTGTGTTTGCCTTCTTAAAGCAGTCTTGTCTAACCTTATGTCTGTACTCGGATATTGTTGCTTCCACTGACGCTTGTGAATCGAGCTTGTATTCGAGCCCTCGAGACCCCTGGCTTGTAATATGAAGCTTGCATTATTTTAATTTGTGTCTAGAGTTGTGTTGTGATATCTTCCCGCGAGTTTTTAATCTTGATGTACATTTGCATGTATGATTAGTGTACGATTGAATCGGGGGCATCACAAGACTATTGGCTGGCAATTGGTATGGCGATTTCGACATCTTCTTTTGTGTTGTTCTAATCACTCGGATCTGGCAGCTCGATAGGCTTGCAGCTCGCATCAGTTGTGCAAGGTTACGAGTTTGACATGTCGCAAGCTCACTCCTTTTCCATGTATTTTTACGTCATGAGTTTAGAAAAACAAGTTTCGTTGCGCTAGTTGGCCCGCCCTATTGTGCACGGAGCTTGTCACAAGCTCTTATATGACCCAAAAGGTCCTCGCCGGAGCGTGAGGCAAAGCGCATGATGCTCTTATCCCCCACAACCCTCACGGTCTGGCCCACACAGTGGCACCTTTTTTTTTTGCAATAGTTGTTTTACGTTTTTGTACTTAATTTCCACCGTTTGTTTTTTGTCAACGTTTCCTTTTATGTGTTTTGCTTTTATTTTTTTTACATTTTTAAATTCACGAGCACCTTATAAAAATCATCAACATTTCTAGATTTTACAATGGATGTATTTTATAATCTGATTTTTTTAAAATTCTTTACCTTTTAATTCAGGAACATTTTTTAAATGTATTACCATGTGCAGCATGGGCCACTGTCCATAGAAAAACAGAAGGAATGTGGAAACCGCTGCCCATATGCTATTCATACAAAAATTGGTGCCCATACAAATCTAGATGGACAGTCAATGTTGGAAAGAAGAATCTTTCTAGTGTGTCAAAAGAGGGAATATACCCTAGTCGCCCCCACAACTTTCCTAACCGCCACTGCCTCGGTTCCCTCATCTTCCCTGTTTGGTTGCCTCATTGGCGACAAGAGTGGGGACACTTCCTTATAGTTTTCAGTTCCTTAGGGTTTTTTTCCTGGCTCGGCAAGGTGGGTTGGAATAATGTCACATCAGTCTCTCTCTATCTCAACGAGATCCGATCTGACGTCGACAAAGGGCCTGCGAGAGTTGTGTTCCACATATGCTGGTTCATTCAGATCTTGACATTTGGTGTGTCTTTCAAGGAGACTAGTGGTTGGCTATTGGTGCGGCAACTTCGACATCTTCTTCTGTGTTGTTCTATGACATGGTCTGTTTTCTCCAATGTTTTGAACTGGTGTTGATGGATTGCAAGATAGCACTGCATAGGATGATGTTCCAACTGATATTGCTTCAGCAATTTATAGATATTGTCTCAAGGACGAGTGACTATTGCGGTCTTAAAAGCCCGATTTGGAGAGGGCATTTGCACCTGCCTCTTTCCTTTACTATTTGCACGGTGCAATTTTCAATCTTTGAGATATTGTGCTCACTCGCGAAAAGAAGAAGGTTAGTATAGTTTCCGTTGTAGTTTCTTTTACATGTCCTTCTATGTCTAGCTACTTGTCTATTGCACTGGTTTTTTTATATATTAATCACATCTAAAATGCTCTTTGAGTGTCTTTATTGAAGGAAAACCAATTGGACAAAAAATGAGTAAAACCATTGAATGGACCGGCCCACTTGCGTTGGGTTTGCGATTCCTTATCTATTCCGTGCGTCATATGCACAAAATAGAAAGTGTTTGGGATGGACTAGTTGAAGGGTACCCCTTTACAGGTTTTTGCATGTAGTTCCAGGGAGCAGGAGTGCTCCAGCGTCGCCATTTTTCGCGTGTTGGACACTTCCTTATTGACAAGTGAATTATGTAAAAAGTATTCTTTAATTTGTGATTTTAGAGTTTTTTTAAGGAATGATTTCAAAGGTGAGTGATCACCTAACAGCACATACGTAGGGTCAGAAACGCCAATCAAGGCGACCGGTGAGAGAGAGAAAAAAACGGATCAATGGATCTGGAAAAAAACTCTTTAGGATAGCCTATTAGCATGATTGGCGGACCAACCCTAGATACGGGCAGCACGGTCTCTGTTGGAGATCGGCCTCCCTGGGGCGGGGCAGTGCGGAAGCGACAGCGGCTTGCATTTACTCTCGAGGTAATGCTAATACGGTGTAAAAGGAATAGAGAGGAGATTGGTGGAATTGATTGTTTTATTTCTTGAGTCTCGTGGGCATATATATAGAGGTACATAACCTTCATGAAATACAAGAACAAATCCTAATCTATTACTACTCCATATATAATACTTCGTTCGTTTCTAAATATTTGTCTTTTTAGAGATTTCAACAAGTGACTATATACGGAGTAAAACAGGTGAATCTACACTCTAACATATGTCTATATATATTCGTATTCGTATGTGATAGTCCATTTAAAATCTCTAAAAAACAAATATTTAAAAACGGAGGGAATATTTCATAAACAATCACGACATTCAACATCCTCGAACCCTCCCAAGCCTGCGCCTAGGCGGTCGCCCGGCCTGGCCTAGAGCCGTCTCTCTCTCTCTCTCTCTCTCTCATCGACTTACTAAATTAAGTGTAGATCACATCAAGTCATCACTAGTATTTATGCGCCGCCAGTGTCATACTGCCGTTAGCCGTCGCTATGTGCTGATGGTAGTAACACCCGTCTTGAAGCCTAAATTGTATATGACGACCTCTAGTAGAAGTCTCTTCCCGCAGCATGATTTAGCCCGAAGTGACCTGTCTCCAAGAAATGATTAATATGTGGAAAACCATCTTTTCATGTTTCTCTAAGATGGATTCAGTTCATTGCAGTGAACCAACTTCTTCCTAGTTTTTTTCTTTAAACAAAATTGACGGTGCAACTCCACTGCATCATGAGTCCATGCAAAATAGAACAGGCAGCGGCAAGTTCGCTACTCTGCTCTGCTGCTGGAGTACAGCGTAATACTTGACAGGAAACCTGCATAATTGCTCTGGTACAACGTGGCATTATGAGAACATAATTGCGCAAAGAGATTTCATTCTTAAGATCACTGGCAGCTGCAGTGATCGCATCGAACTAAAGTAGGTCAAAGATGAATCTCTTCACTGCAATCTGCAACAAGCAGAAAACACGAGAGAAACTGCATAACAAATCAGGTGGCCCGACATAGTAAAATCATACTCCATATTTTTGTTGTTAATCTTGTTGATCATGCAATCCATCTTAATTTCTGACTTGTATTTCTAATATATCCGCTGGAGGACCAGCCAACTTGGACCTAAAGGACAGCACATGTATGATCTGAATGTCCACGTCCACGTACTGCGACGTCGCAACTTCCTAAGGACCAAAACATTAAAGGGCACACTCCATGCAATAGCGGGAGAGTAGGTGGCAAGCGCCGAATCCAATTTAATCCGGTTGGAACGACACCCGTTTAGTGATGATAGCGGCATGTCATCCTTTCTCACACGAAAGCTACGACCGATCTGCAGACGTAACCTGCACCGAACGGTCGATGCACACGGCTTCTTCGGCCAACTCCAGCTCCATCTAGGCAACTATCGGCTATCATAGGTATCTAATTAACCTGAGTTCCAATTACTTGTGCATTTCTCCAGCCTCAAACAGTATAACGATATGCTAGCTATAGCTAGTATAAGAAATAAGGTCAAGCACACAATCCATGGATTTTGGATCCAACACGTGCACTAGCCGTGAGGCCAGGCTAAGAGATGGCCATGATCTTGAGCTGGATGGATGAACCGATCGAGGCATTGATGGCGGGGGGTGGCTAACTACCGGAACCCGTGGCTAGGTCACACGGTCCATGCATGCACACCGGCAAATCAACGGTAGGTGATGCGCGCTTGTGTATTTATACCTGCATGCTCGGTGTCCAAAGGCACCCACTGCACTCAAGTACTACAGCCACTGCCACAATCCTCTTTGTCTGTCTTTCTTTCAGGAGTTCTTCGGAAGATGGGCTCCAAGATGCTTCTGGTCACCGTTCTCTTGGTGGGCATAGCCTCTCAGAGCTATGCCACCAGGAGCCTTGAGGGGAACCACTTGGCTGAGCAGAAGTGTATGTATTAGTCCCAGATCTCACAGTCCCGTGTTTGCCTTGTTGTATATATGGTGCTACTACGTACTTTTGCTGATCACGAGGCACGCTGTGTATCTGTGGATCTCAACAGACGGCGGCGGCGGCTACGGAGGTGGCGGTGGGGGCTCGGGAGGTGGTGGCGGCTATGGAGGAGGTGGCAGCGGCGGCGGGGGTGGCTATGGAGGAGGCGGCGGCGGCGGTGGCTACGGAGGAGGAGGCGGCGGTTACACACCGACGCCAACACCGTCGACCCCCAGCCACAGCGGATCCTGCGAGTAAGGCAAACGTACCGCTAGATAATAATCTGCTAAATACTGTATCAATCAAAGGATCGCAGATTCAAAGCTCAAAAACCCACTGTTGTAAGTGTAACTGTGCATCTGCATGTGTACGTGTGCGCAGCTACTGGAAGGGCCACCCGGAGAAGATCATCGACTGCATCGGCAGCCTGGGCAGCATCCTGGGCTCCCTCGGCGAGGTGTGCCACGCCTTCTTCGGCAGCAAGATCCACACCCTGCAGGACGCGCTGTGCAACACCCGGACCGACTGCTACGGCGACCTGCTGCGCGAGGGCGCCGCCGCCTACATCAACGCCATCGCCGCCAAGAAGGAGAAGTTCGCCTACACCGCCTACCAGGTCAAGGAGTGCGTCGCCGTCGGGCTCACCTCCGAGTTCGCCGCCGCCGCGCAGGCCGCCATGTTGAAGAAGGCCAACTACGCCTGCCACTACTAGGCTAGGCTGCCGCCCCAGCTGCTAGTCGTCTCGTCGGTGGCTAAATAAGTCCATATATGCATGCACGTGTTGTGCATGTGTTTTCATTTCATGCAGTTCCCGGATGCGCGCGCGCGTGTCCTCCGCTAAGCTTTATGTGTTTGTTTGCCGTTTGATGATGCATGCCATGCCGTCTCGTCTACGTAGTGATGCTTTGCTTGCTTTTCGTCGTTGGTGATGTAAAAATAATTTGATTATTAGTGAAAGAAAGATATAGCATGCATGATCGTTACCATTGTTCAGTTATTATAAGCAAGAGACACGATCGAGAAGATCTTATTGACTAGGAGGTGTCTAAAACCCTCTCTTTCCTGAATCTGATTACCGTGCATCTCAAGCTCACTTGATCGAGTTGGTTGGCGTCATCGTCGTGTCATTGCACGTCAACCTAGGTCGATATTCCACCTTTCCCGGCACCTTTTAGTTAACACATTTTTTGCTGGGATTAGTTAATACTCCCTCCGTTCCAAAATAAACTCAAGTACTAAAATTGAGATATTTTGTTGGAATTTTGCTAGTAGGCCTTTGGCCCAAAGCCCAACTAAAATTTTGAAATTCTTTTGGCCCATTCATGCACACATGTGAGTGAAGTGAGTAAGACCAAAGTTTAGTCTCATCCCGGAAGTTGAGAGAGAGTTGCACCTCTTTATAAGGTGAGCACTTCTATCACTTGTATGAGCATGAGAAGAGGAGATCTACTCGCTCGCCTCGCCTCGCCACGCCTTGTCACGACGCGCCACGGGTTGCGGGATTGAGCCGAGTTGAGGACAGAGCTATGCACGTTGTCTATATTTTTGCTGCCCAGGAAAAAAATAATGAGTCATTAATTAATAATTAATGGACGCGTTAATTACTGAACCGTTTCCGATTCTTTTGGATCGTGACGACTCGGACGCGGGGTTTACTCCCACGACCTATCCGGCCCGCACTATGTAGTCAGGCAAACGTCTATCCTAGCCGCCGCCGCTTCGTATGCTTTCTCACCACCGTTCCAGATCATTGCGCCGCCAAGCAAGTCTTCTTCATCCCTCCTTTCGGCGTGCACCGGGAGAAGGGACAGCAGGCCTCCGGAACCCCGCCTCTCGTGATCCTGCACGGGAGAGGGGCGATCAGGTTTTTGGGGAGCGCACTTGCGTGATTGCTGGCAGCGACGACTTCGCGAACGACGTCTTCTTCCCCGACCTCGGCAACCTCATCCTCGACGACATGGGCGACAACGTCAACGCCGGCAGTGCTGCACCAGCTGCACCGTATGTTATTCTATCCTTCTTGTTCGAGAACGTGGTAGAATTCATGTTTCTAGTATGTGCCCTAGATGTGATCTGTTCATCTACTATGCTAGTTCGCATGATTAGTTTAATCTCTGCTATTGCTGTCATGATCTGTTTCCTATTTATTCGGATTAAATCTCGTAGTAATTTGCTCATTTTTTCAACAATCCAAAAACCTGATTATAGTTAATTTACTCCGAGTGGTTTTGCTGCGCATCTGAAGCCGTCTTCCTTTAAGGGGGCGCAATATAAGAGGTGGCGCACGAGAGCAGTCTACTGGTTTCAGACCATGGGCTGCTATGACGCCACCAAGGGCAAGCCTGAGGGCGATCATAATCCAGCACAGCTGGAAGCTTTTGAGAAGATCGATACCCTCTTTAAAGGCGCTCTTATGAGTGTCCTTGATGACTCCGTTGTGGATTCGTATATGTCGTTTGACAACGGCAAGGACATGTGGGCTGCGCTCGAGGCCAAGTTTGGTGCCTCGGACGCCGGCAGCGAGTTGTACGTCATGGAGCAATTCTATGACTACAAGATGACTGATGAGAGCCCTGTTGTACAGTAGGCCCATGAGATACAGTCGCTCGCAAAAGAACTTGAGTACTTCAAGTGTGTGCTGCAGGACAAATTTGTTGCCGGAGGCATCATTGCCAAGCTTCCACCTTCGTGGAACAATTTTGCTAGTTCCCTGAAACACAAGAGACAGGAGTTTTCCGTTGCGGATCTCATTGGTACTCTTGATGTTGAAGAGAAGGCAGAGCAAAGGACACACGTGCTCGAGTTGTTGAGGGAGGTTCTAGTGCCCACATGGTACAGAAGAAGAACTTCCAGCCCAACAAGTTCAAAAACAACAAGAACAAAGCTCAGGGCAAAGGCAAGTTTGATACAAAGAACAAGCCATCACATTCTACCAACTCCAAGAAGAATTCTCATAAAAAGGGGAAGGGACTTTGCCATGTCTGCGGTGATCCTAATCACTGGGCTCCGAAGTGTCCTAACCGCTTTGAGGAGGGCGAACATGAGAAGAGCGGCAAGTCCGCTAATGTTGTCATAGGTGATACTGATATGAAGAAATCAGGGTACGGTATTTTTCCTACCATCCTTTCAGTATTCCAAACCCCTGATTGGTTAATTGACACCGGCGCCAATGTACATGTTTGTGCTGACGCCTCCATGTTTTCTTCTTACCAGGCCACTGGGACTTCTCCCGTGCTGATGGGGAATGGGTCACATGCCATCGTTCGAGGTGTTGGTACGGTCGATCTGAAGTTTACTTCGGGGAAGACCGTGCGTCTGAAGAACGTTCATCATGTGCCGTCCATCAATAAAAATCTCGTTAGCGGTTCCCATTTATGTCGAGATGGTTTTAAGTTGGTTTTCGAATCCAATAAAGTTGTAATTTCTAAGTATGGACAATTTGTTGGAAAAGGCTATGAGAGCGGAGGCTTGTTCCGCATGTCTTTGTCAGATATTTGCACTAAAGTTATTAATAATGTTTGCCACAACAATGAGTCTGATATTTGGCATTCACGACTTTGTCACATTAACTTTGGTTGCATGACGCGGCTAGCCAATATGAATTTAATTCCGAAAATCTCTACTGTCAAAGGCTCTAAGTGCCAAGTATGTGTGCAAGCTAAGCAACCTTGCAAGTCCCATAAGACTGCAGAGGCAAGAGACTTGGCGCCACTAGAGCTTATACATTCTGATCTTTGTGAGATGAATGGCGTGTTGACAAAAGGTGGAAAGAGATACTTCATGATGTTGATTGATGACTCCACTAGATATTGTTATGTGTATCTTCTGAAATCAAAAGATGAGGCTTTGACTTTCTTCAAAAACTATAAAGCTAGGCAGAGAACCAACTTGATCGAAAAATTAAACGGCTTAGGTCCGATCGTGGTGGAGAGTATTTTTCCAATGAATTTGATATGTTTTGTGCAGAACATGGTATAATCCATGAGAGGACGCCTCCCTACTCACCCCAGTCAAATGGGGTAGCCGAAAGAAAGAACTGAACTCTAGCTGATATGGTTAACACCATGTTAGACACTTCGGGTCTATCCAAGGAATGGTGGGGGGAGGCGCTAATGACTGCGTGTCATGTCCTAAACCGAGTTCCCACAAAGCATAAGACCATGACTCCATTTGAGGACTGGGAAAGGAGAAGGTTGAAACTCTCTTACCTACGTACTTGGGGTTGTTTGGCGAAAGTCAATATACCAATTCCCAAGAAGTGCAAGCTTGGACCAAAAACCATGGATTGTGTTCTTCTGGGCTATGCTTTTCATAGCATCGGCTATAGATTTTTTATAATAAAACTCTGAGGTATCCGACATGCATGTTGGTACGATTATGGAGTCGAATGATGCAACTTTTTTTGAGGACATATTTCCTATGAAGGATATGTCGAGTTCATCAAATCAGGAGATACCTACTCCATCTAGTGAGGAATTCACTGTAATTCCTGAACCCACCATTGCGATGGAACACGTTGAGAATCCTATTGAGGGTGACAATGGAACTCCTGTGAGGAGTAAGAGACAGAGGACTGCAAAGTCTTTTGGTGATGATTTTATTGTGTACCTCGTGGATGACACACCCAGGACTATTTCAGAAGCCTATGCATCTCCTGATGCTGACTACTGGAAAGAAGCTGTAGGTAGCGAGATGGATTCCATCTTAGCTAACGGTACCTGGGAGATCACTGACCGTCCTTATGGGTGCAAACCTATAGGATGTAAGTGGGTGTTCAAGAAGAAGCTTAGACCTGATGGTACGATTGAAAAGTACAAGGCACGGCTTGTGGCCAAGGGTTATACCCAGAAAGAAGGTCAACACTTCTTTGATACTTACTCACCCGTGGCTAGACTGACCACAATTCGGGTGCTACTATCACCGGCTGCGTCACATTGTCTTCTCGTTCATCAAATGGACGTCAAGATAACTTTCCTCGATGGAGAGTTGAAGGAGGAAATTTACATGGATCAGCCAAATGGTTTTGTAGTACCTGGTCAGGAAGGAAAGGTGTGCAAGTTATTAAAGTCGTTATATGGCCTTAAACAAGCTCCTAAAGAGTGGCATGAGAAGTTCGAAAGAACATTAACTGATGTCGTCTTTGTAGTAAACGATGGTGACAAGTGCGTGTACTATCGCTATGGTGGGGGCGAAGGAGTTATTCTTTGTCTGTATGTCGACGACATATTGATCTTTGGAACCAAACTTGATTTAATCAAGGAGGTTAAGGATTTCTTATCTCGTTGTTTTGAGATGAAGAATCTAGGAGTAGCTGATGTTATCTTAAACATCAAGCTGTTGTGACGCCCGGATAATTAAGCTACGGCAAACTCTGCTAACAATGCCACGTCACCACGATTACGGTTGTTAATCTCGCGATGATTCAATCCCGTTCGGATTCAAAATTCAAATTCAAGTTCAACAATAAAAGTTTTCAAATATTAAACTAAAATGTTCGGAGTAAGCCAAATAATGCATAAGTAATTATGGTGTAGTAACCACACTTTTATAAGATGGTTAAATATTCAAATGGTAATAACACAATAGTAAAAATAATTAAATGCTTTAAGTATTAAATAAATACAAAACTATTTTAATTTGGGTAGCAAATTAATGTGTTAGTGACATAATTACATATACTAAATTAGATACAACTTTGGTATTTTACTTAAA